TTAAGGGCACAAAGCCAAGCCCGGTGCTTCTCAGAGATCTCTTTCAGTTGTCTTGAGGGGAAAATAAGGGAGATTATTTTACTTCTCATTAAATACAGATTTCGCTGCTGTGAGGGGTCATTACAAATTGCTTGGTTTTTTTAATGAGCTATCGGTAAGATTATGTACCGAAAGGAGCAGTAGGTAATAGTAGGGGGGCTGGTTAGCTCAGTCAGTTGAGCGTGGCGCTAACAACGCTAAGGTCATGGGTTCGATTCCCGTTCAGTCCCCATGTGTTGCCTGATCTAGTCGAGAGGTGGCGTCCCTGGCGGCAGGGAGGCTGGATTAAAATGATCTCTAAGGTCCCTTCCAGCTTAGGCCGTTCTATGATTTGAAATTCTGTGATTAATGGGGTAAGGTCTGACTTCACCACGCTGGGCTTGAACGGATCGAGTGTAGTTTGTGGGGAATGGGTCTCTGCGTGTCGGTGGAGACACACAATAATTTCTGCCCCTGGTACAGTTAATTTATTGTGAATTGGCAGTCCCTGGTGGCAGGGGCAGCTCAACTGGGCGGGCTGCTGACGAGTCTAGCTTAGGCCATTCTATGAGTAAGGACCTTATTGCCCTGGTGGCTCCCGGTCTGCCCACGGATGTGAACGCGGAGCCGTGGCCGGCTCTGCCGCAGCGCTGGGCTGGGCTCCTCACCGGGAGACAGGCCCCACGCCGCGGGCCGTGTGTCCGTACGCTAACGGGGCCGCAGCAAGCCCTTCCTTTTCTTTCTGGTGTCTCTGGCCACTACCCCGCAGGGGTGGAAGTCTGCCAGCGAGAGTCTCAGCCTGGCGGCCGAGCTCCACGGGGCAGTTTGGAGCCTCATGATCGAATCTGGAGAGGCTGGGTTCATTCTGCCAGAAGGTAACAATCCTACCCGCGCAGGAGCCGTGCACGCCTCTCGCTTCGCTTCCCTTGATTTGCCTGATTTTGGAGCTCTTGGGACTTCCTGAGATGTCTGGATTTTCCTGGTACCAGTTCTTCAGTCTTTAATGCTCAGATCCCACACCAGCTAGAAGTGTTGTGCTTCAGGAAGAAAAAACAACAAGAAGATTGACAGTAGCCTGATTTATCACAGAATTTGGAAACAAAATTAAGAAGTTGGTGAAGATACCCCTGGAGATTTGGGGCTTGCTTTGCAGAGTGCTAAATTGACAGCTAATGTGCCGCTTTCGGCAGCGGCTCTGCTGAGCGGGCTGCAGCCGGCTGAGATGTCACCCGAGAAACTGCATCACTTATGAAGATTTATTTCAGATTTCATTAACAAATAATTTCTGAGCTTCACAGTAACAAGGTTACTCACGAAGCAGATGTCTCGGTAACACGAAACTCCGTTAGAGACTTCTCTGAACCTTCTGGCTGTTTGGAGAAGGCTGAAAGCAGTCGGGACGCTGGGTGCTTCTGTGTCCGGGTTCGATGGGATCCTGAGCCCGGCTGGTGCTGTGCAGGGCCCGCGGCAGCTTCAGGGTGTCCTGTCTCACCCGGGTCCTGCGTGTCCTTGCGCACACGGGGCCGGGATGTCGAGGGGTCTGTGGCCCCCAGCGACAGGGTGGGTGGGTCAGGTAACGCCCCGAGTACTGCTGCAGGCTGGAGGAGAAGCAGGAAAATAGTTCTTCTCCCTGTGCCCATCCCCAGCTTTTGTTTACTTTACCCTATTTATAAATGTCAGCCTTTTTTAAACCCTTTTGTATTCATTGTTTTCTGTGTGCTGATATCAGTGTTAGATTTAAATGAAAACGCCTTTGGAATAAATTACTGTGAATGCGCTGCATTGAACAGGAACAAAATTAAGCTTAACTAACAAAACAATTTAAAAATGCTTTTCTTGTGCGTTTTCTAATGGATTCCATCTTCTTGCCAAATGCACCTTAGCGCAGCTGAGAAAAAAACCCCACATTTGATTTATCAAATGATTAACCCTTTTCTACCAGAAAGGCAAATCTCATAACAGTTTAGTTGACAACTATGTAGAGGCATGTGAAGCTATGAAATGATTTTTAAATAAGTGTGTTTAGACACAATGTATGTGTTTGCTGAGCAAAATGCGCCAGGCTTAGTGCAATGATGTTTGTGCTTAAATCTTTTTTTGGCTGGGAGCCATCCTTCAGAGACCCCAGCTGCCAGGCAGCGGTGAGCAGCGGTGGCCGGGAGCTGGTGCCTGCCCGAGACAGGACGTTCGTGACAGCACGTCTCTTGTGAGAGGAGCAGAAGCTCAGGTGCTTCACTGGAGCCTGGATTTCTTGATTTTAATAGTGCTGGCTGGAAAACTGCAATATTCTTCGTAAGGTTTTGCATAACTTCAGTAAGAAAAGGAAGAACCTTAATGCCTGCTTAATAGCGTTTGCCCGGGAATTCAATTACTGCCTCTTGCCAATATGTTGGCAGCATTAATAATGGCACGGAGGCACTTCTGTAATTTATCATAATGATTTCTCTTATGTATTGTAGAAGATTCTTCCCCCTCAACAACGTGTAAATACAAAAAAAGGATAAAATAATTGAGATTGAAACAGGGTGTAAATTCTGATGCTGAGGATTGTGTAAGCAGAGGAGATGGGGTTGGTCTCATGATGGAGTTCTAATTCGGATTTTACTCTGGTGATACAGTCCCTTCCCACGGTACATTATTTTGCCTCTGACAAACACCGGCTCCCTGGGTCCCTTGTTACAGCTGCAGTCTCGTGGAGGGTTTTGTTCCTTTATTAATGTTTAGCAATGAGAGTGAGGAGTGAGATTCTGACTCCCCAAGTTAGGAGGATCCAAGGCAAATCTTGTAGGGCTTTCTGCCATAAATTTAAGATGACTTATGTCCCTGATTTCTCTGTCTCTGTGACATGAGTCTGTTAAGGATGGGGTAGGGTGAATTGGGTAGTACCAAGGAGTGAGTGGAAGGACATAGGGAGGACAGGAACTCATATGCCATTAAGGGCACTAAGTAAGGAATATTTTCCTCAGCTGATGTCATTTAGAAGAGCATCTTTTTTCTTTTCTGTACTGGGTTACTGGTTGCGTGGGGAGAGTTTGAATTATTGGTTGTTGACAATGACACATTTGTTTCCAAATGGATCTGTGTGAAATTACATTTTAATGTGTTTAGAAGATAAGTAATAGGACCCTCCTTTAAAAAAGAACCCCGACACACAAATCCCACTACAAAACCCTCCAAGCAAATAAATTTTTCATTTCAAAGAATCTCTGGCTATGCTTCTACTTCATGGCTGTTGAATTACGAGCCGAGTAACTGCTTTAAAAGTGCAGGGGAGCACTTCAGAAGGGTTCCAAGTCAGTGACGTACCGTCTGTAATGCTGCTTCAGCAGAGACAGGGAGGTGGGTAACGGAGTTTGACCAGGCCTGGCTGGGAGCGAGCCCCGGGGCTTTGCTTTGTGCTCACACCTTGTCTGGGAAACCGGGTTCTGCATCTTCCTCTAAATGGTGACAGCGTGGTGACAACACCGGGGTCTTGGTCAGTGCTGCCCTGTTTTCTTCTCAAACACCTCAAAAGATTTCACGGGGATCTTTTTTTTTTGTTTGGGTTTTTGCTGGTGTTTTTTTGTTTGGTTTTTTTTTTTTTACATTTCTCCTGAAAGGAGAGCTTTCATTTCGTAGCTTTTCATTTACATTGAAACAAGTAAATAGGTGAGTATTCTCTGGATCGTGGTGAGAAGCAGCTGTAGCTGGGCCGCAGCGTGCGTGCCGGAATCGCAGCGGGATTGCCTTTGACCCTGGAAGATTTGTTGCTCTTCAAGGCCCCAGAGCTCCCAGGCTGCTGCGGAGCTGGACACTCCTGCCTGGCTGCTCACACTGGGCCTGCTGGGACGAGGACACGGCTGCCTCTTCCCTCTGCGTCTTTCTTGGCTTCGAAACCAAGAAGAATCCAAATGTCAGTTCAAAAGCAAACCTTGCGTTCATGACTTCTGTGATTTTAGACAACGGTTCCCACGGAGCAGAGCAGTGGAGGTTTCCTGCCAGGGAATGCTTTGGGCAATTGCTGGCTGAATGTTAGACCTGACGGGGTTGTGAGCAGTGAGAGAAAAGAAAAATATTATTTTGTTACTGTTTTCATTTCATAAAAGGCTCTTGGTAAGTAGTAAAGGATTAAGCTTTGTTTTCCTGTAGTTACAGAACATGGAGCACTCCTGTTCCAGCTTGGTTGTCCTTCAAAGAAATACAAGAGACCAAATTTAATATCCTTGTGGTTTTTGAAGGCGAGTGTTTTCCCTTCTACCACAAATGTTTTCATCCCTTTTTGCCTAAATTAAAACATGGGCTTAGGGTTAATGGACTTCTCCACATCTCTGGCAAATTACCTTTAATTCTGAAAACTGAACAGAAGTTGCAGAAGAAAATAATAGGTTGTTCCAAGCAAAGCATGGAGATGGGGGCAGCGCTGGTGCCCAGCCCCTGCAGCGCTCCGGTCCTGTGTGCTCCGCGCGACCCCCTGGGTCTGCATTTAAACATCAGCAAACTGTAGGGAGAAGGAAGGACAGGGAAGTCGGGGTGAATTAGGGTGCATGCAAGAATTCAGTGTAATCTCGTGTACTACATGGGTGAAAAATGATCTATCCCTGCGATCTGCTTGGTTGGTGTGGTGTCTGTGAAACGTGAGGCTGGCTCAGCTGAGTCAGCAGATTCCAGCTCCGTGAGCCGGTTGGCCGTCTGGCCTCTGAGCACTTTGGTTTGGCCACTGCTTCTCTTTGCAATACTAGTCCCTGCTGCCTAAGAAGATGTTTCCTGTGAATTGTGTTCATAGATCAAACAAGGTAGGATGTTGACACAGCTGTTGGCAGAGTCATTCATCTACTCATGTGACGTTCGACTTCGCTAAATGAATTTCCTTTCCAGTTTTCAGAGGTGTTAAGCGTTGTGTAAGCAAATGTTTTAAACAACTTGTAAGAATTTCCCCAGTAATACTGGTGTTCTGGTTTGCAAGGGTTGCGAAAGACACGTGTTCATTGACCTTGTTCCTCTGACTTCAGCCTAACAGAGGGACAAAACGGCCCCGGGATGAAGAGGAAGAAGAAATCAAAGCCCGTCGGAAACAAGCGAGTGCCCGAGAGCACAGCCGACACAGGGAAGAGGAGTCTGTCACCCTGGAAGAAACTGATGATGAGAAGAAGAAACTTCTTCAGATAATAGAGAGGGATGGAGAGGAGGAAGAGGAGGAAGTGAGTCACTGGTGTCCTGTAGGAAGGGGGAGGCCACGGGGAGATAAGCAAACACTAAATCACTTCTCTGTGATTCCCACGTCTTAACTATGTAGGTGATGGGACTAAGTGGTGGTTCTTGCGTGCCTTGTGCCGCTTCAGGTTCTGGCTTCACTTCCCTGCCCACGTGGTGCTCGTTGATTTCAAGCAGGGCCTCTCAAAAGATGTCCTCTGGAGGTTTAAAGGGAGAAGGGGCAAAAAGGAAGAGGGAAAAAGAAAATTTCCAAGCCTGATCCCTGTTTGGGCAGAGAATATACAAGTAGCCTTCTAAAATTTTCAGGAAATAGTTTCTGTATTCTAACTCCTTTGTTCCTAGCAGCACCCCTGGCCATACAGCTTCTCCCCCTCTTTGTAGCTGTGCGGCAGCAAATAAACAAACCTCCTGCACAGAGAGGCCGTGGGGCAGGGCAGGAGGGTGGTGACTGTCAGGGGGAAATGATTTCAAGCCTTGGAGACAGAAATCCAATGTAGCATTGGCCTTTCTGCCAAGGGCCAGAGAAAAGATCACTTTATAAATGTGACACACGGATTGGTATAAATCTGGAAGATATTTGCTTCCAGCTGCCTGTGTCCTGTTTGATAAAAAAACAAGTGATATTCGCCACTGCAGAACCGTGTAGGTTTGTAAAATATCGTTGTTCTTTGTATACAGCATCGCTAGCGCTTGTCTCTGAAAAGCTCCCTCGTTTTTTTGTTGTCGAGCTATTGCCACTAGAGTTGTTGCTGATAAGAGAGACAGAAAATGCAGGAGCTATGTAGTGTTTGAGCTCCAGTGAGGATGGATGGACGTAGCCAAAAGTCCTCTTGGCTGGCTGGAGCCTGGGGAATCCCTGCAGTGCCCAAGCCCCTTGGTTTTGACAGATGGAGTTCTCCCATCCAGGTGTTTTAAGGGCTGGAAGTCCCAAGGTATCTTCAAAACACAAACCTCAGGATGTGCTTTGTGCCAGCACGTCTGACGGGAGGAAGCTGATCCCTAGGACGAAGGAAATGCAAGATACGAGGCCGGTCCTGGTGGAGTGATAGATGTTAGAGAAGGCAAAGAATCAAATAAAATAGAGGGAGGCCGTGTTGGCACATGTGACAGTATCTTTGGGGGTGGAAATCCCGTTGCAGGACGCGTGTGGTTTGGGCACTGGTACTGATTGCCTGAGCTCGAGTGAGAGGGCGACGTGAACCATGGTGCTGAGACAGGGCAGGCTTGAGAATGTGGGAAGTCCAATGCTAGTGGAAGACTTGGACTGGTGGTGTAATGGAGTCTGAAAATACAGAAATTTTCTATCTTGGACAAGATTGCTGCTTAGAGCCTCTGACTGAGGAACGTCCCAACAGAAGAAGTGGCTCCTGATTTAATTCTGCACAGGAGATGGGGCATAAAACTTGGCTTAAGATGTGAAGAGGTCTCGTTTGTTTTTTGTTTTGAGAAGTTCTCTTTAGTAGTAATTGTAACATAGTGAAGTAGAGGAGAGGGAAGAGGTACTTGAGAAAAATCTATACCATCAGTGTTTTAGTAAAAGATGTGCATTAAAATCATGAAACAAGGAAAATAACCCAATCGTGGTTGTAGGTGTCAGGAGGTAACTAAAGTTACGTTACTGCAGAACACTAAATGGGTAATGCCAACTGGGAAACACCTTAGAGGAATTTAAAAAATAAAAAGAAAGTACTAAAATATTGATTTTTTTTTTTTCTTCAGAAAGACTAAAATAGAAGTGAAAGCTTAGCCGAGTGAAGAAAATAGAAAAGAACATAAACTCAAGGCAGTTAAGTGTAGACTTACAGAAAGAAATAGCACAACAAGCTTCTGAAAAGAAACTATCCATGGCTGTAAACTGCTGGTGCAGATTAATACATCAGAAACAGCAAACCTCGGGATGAGCTGTTGGTGCCGGGTACTAACAGGTGGAAAAGTTCAGCTCCAGGAGCTGTTTCAAAACGGCTTTTTCATGCTGTTGCATTTTGCTGGGTTTTCCAGCCATCCAAAGTTCTGTTTTCTGCCCTTTTCGATTCGATTAGGAGGAACCTTTGGATGAAAGTTCAGTGAAGAAAATGATTCTCACCTTTGAGAAGAGATCTTACAAAAACCAGGAGCTGCGGATCAAGTTTCCTGACAATCCAGAGAAGTAAGATTATGCTCAGCCTTCTCTACCCCTTTTTCCTTTCATTTTAGATTTCAGCCCTAAATAGATTTCTTGAATGTGCAGATGTTTTCAGTTACGTAAGGCTAATGGCAAAGCGATTACTGCCAGGTAGTTCTTGCCGTGTTATTGCTATGTAGGTCTTCTAAATGGTACTTGAAACTAACTTTGTGAATTAAAAATGATGTTACCAAGACTCTGGTGGTGACTGGCTGCATGAAGAGAACAGTTAGCAATGAAGGGAAAAGTTCTAGTTCATGAAATTCTTGCTGCCGTTAATATTATAGATTGTGAAACTTCAGTACCAGAACTCGAGTCGATGTTGTCTTTATTTTGGAAATGTGCAAATTCAGTAGGGTTTTGTGAGGTCTGGTTTGGGTATGGGGCTTGGCTCTTGGAGGCGAGCTCCGCCGAGCTCTCTCAGCGGCAAGTTGGGAGCTGGGGCTGCGTGAGACGAGGAGGAGCCGTGTGGGGGCTGCGGGCAGCTGGGGGTGAATCCTGCCTGGTATCTCCTGGCAGGGCTCTGTTGGGGAAAGGGCTGCGCGTTGAACACGACTGACGTGCTTTTTACCTTTTTATTAACCACTTTTTGTCTTGCCTCAGGTTCATGGAGTCTGAACTGGATTTAAATGACATCATTCAGGAAATGCACGTGATCGCCACGATGCCGGACCTGTATCACCTGCTGGTGGAGCTGAACGCTGTGCAGTCCCTCCTGGGGCTGCTGGGCCACGACAACACAGATATCCTTCAGTTGCTAAAGCAGCTCTCATGAGCGAGGCTTTCTGCAGGCTTTCTCTAATCTCTTATATCCTGCTTTCACAGGCTCCTCGAAATGTTTTTCTCTTTTTTCCCACCATGCTGAATTTATGGTTTTTGGTTTTTCTTCAAGTGAAAGCCTTCTTTGTCCAAGTGATATCGATTCTGAATTTTTTCAGTACTGTGATTCTCCTTCCTTGTTTTATGACCCTTTCATCTAGGCTTGAGTGGCTGCGTTAGCATGTGAACAGATGAAAAATACAGGAAAAGCTGAGGTGTACTCTTAAAGATTTTTTTTTTGTAGTTTTGAACAAAAACAGTGTAATTTTTTAAACATCCTGGTGCCCTGACGCTTAGCCGTCAGCTGAGAAACAGAACTCCTGGCTTCCTAGTGTGCAGTCTTTTAAGTGTAGAGCTCAGCCTGCATTGCTTGTAAAATATTCTACAGTAGATAAGGCTGAAAAATTGTGACATGATTTGGGAGATCGTCTGTCTGTGTCCTCCCAAACATGAGTAAGTGGAAGGAGCGGTGGAGCCTGGGACAAAGGGCACTGGACTTAGACTCGGGACTCCAGCAGGCTTTCCCTTTTTCATTTGTATTGATTCATGACCTTAAGGAAGTATTCTTTACTTCCTCACGTGTAAAGAAGTAGCTAATACCTACCAGCCATTATGAGACATTTTGAAATACGCAAAGTTAAACGGAGTGTTGGTGCTAAGTGTTGTGGTCTGGTGCACGGATCTTGGTTTGCTTTTTTAGCACTTTCCCCTTTAGAATTCCTAATTCATTCTTGCTGGGTGGGTGCAGTGGTCAGAAGATAAACAGTAGCTAATACCTACCAGCCATTATGAGACATTTTGAAATACGCAAAGTTAAACGGAGTGTTGGTGCTAAGTGTTGTGGTCTGGTGCATGGATCTTGGTTTGCTTTTTTAGCACTTTCCCTTTTAGTACTATGTATTAAGAATTCCTAATGCATTCTTGCTGGGTGGGTGCAGTGGTCAAAAGATAAACCCAAAACATAGATGTCTGATGACGTATTAGAAAGCGCTCCTTACGTCTTTGGGTGTTTGACTTGTATCTCGCTGAACCCTGAGGTGGTGAATGCTGGTCCCTCCAAACAGCAACCACCACAGCTTGCCCTATCTGGGATCGCTGATGGAAATTACTCTCGAGTAAACATTTGTTAACAATTTACTGTTCTACAGTGGGAAACACCTACCATGCATAACCAGTTTCATGGCTACCGTAATTTCATTAGTTGTTTTTTTTTTGTCAGACACTGCAGGCTTTTTGTGTGCTATGTGCATAGCGTTAAAGACTCATACTGAATTTCTCATTCACAGGCAAAACGTAAACTGTGGGGATTCTGACTGGGGCAGCAGAGCTGATTCACAGCTGGAGTGCGCAGGAATACAGCTTGCTTTGTCCTTTCAGCCATGAAAAACTGAGTCCTGGGGTCACTGCTGCTGTCAAAGACTTGTCAGTATTTCCACTGTGAACTCTTTTTAATTGGTTTGCAACTTGCCTGTCAGTCAGTTTACGGGTGGAAATTTGGCCTGTGAATTGCAATTTTGAGAAAAGTCTATTTCTTGTTATAAAACTGCTGAAGTGTTTTCAGATCGGTTGGAAGCAGGGCACGGTCTCTGGTAGCGCCTCTTCCCTGTGCTGCTGCTGCTCCCAGACAGGCTGGAAATCCTCTTCAAGTGAAGCATCTAGGTGTAAAACTAAATTGATATAGTTAAACTTTAGTAGTGACTTTTTGTTAAAACAAATGGAAAAAGATTTTTAAAATGAGTTCTTCAAGGAGACAACTAAACAGATGACTCTTCAGATGTGATTTAAATGTAGTATCTTGAGGGACTAATGCAAGGAGACAAAAGCAATGTCCAGGGGGAGCGAATAATCTGCTGAATGATTCATGCAGTTTTACACAAAACATGTGAATGAAAGATGATCACTGACGGGATTTTGGTAATGAAAGGCAGGAAAGCTTCAAGTGACAGTTTGCTTTTCTATCTCTTGAATTTTATAGAACAACTGATGCTCTTGGTGAAAGCCTCGACA